ACTTACTCTCCTTTTTCCCGGAAATTTCCATGAATTCAGTGAGGTTTCCCAAAATTTCGTACCATTTTGTGGAAGGTAGTGAAAATGTTGAGATTCCCTTCACTTTAGGATCCTTACAACGTACGGGTCGAAAATAGAAGGAGTCGAGAATTTGGTGAATCCTCGGAGCAATGCTTTCCGTGGGTGGGGTAGTAGGATCCCAAGCATTGAAGCCGTGGCTCCATTGCGGCTCAAAAGTGCGCGACAAGGGCGCTAATACCTGATTGTTGCGACCGCTGCATTCTTTACTCGATCGCAGCATACGCGATGTCTGCGTCCTCATCAACAGAGTGCTCTCTCAAAAATCCCTCTCCTCACCATGCTGGCCTCTCCGCCGTTAGTAAGTCGTAATAACAAGCAAAAAAGGCCTTTATCTTCATCCTTTCCTTTTTTCTCACTAGGCCCTCTTATTTCATTTTGAAGTGGAATAAACCAATTTCTCCGCATCCCGCGCCCTTAAGGCCCCGCAATTCCAATGCCTCTTCTTTCCGGCAACCACTGCGGAATCTAGCAAACACGACCCCCAATCCCTCGACCCTCGTTCTCTTCGTCGGTGAGTCCTCAGAATGTTCATCTTGCTTACCGGAATGCACTGTGCAGAAGCTTCTTACTTAAAATTAATTCTCCTTTTTTCTGCAAACGCAACCAAGGAAGGTCTAGAACGAATGTTTTCTCGTCGAAAACAGATCAAGATTTAGTGACACGATAGAAGACGAATCGTCCCGACAGGCCGCTCTTAGCGTTTCTAGTGTCTGACAGCAACCTTACTCCCACTGGTTCTGTCCGCATAATACCGTGTGAGTTCGCAGTTAGAAAGAAATCCTTAACTTGATGGCCTTAAAGGCAGCGATTCACGATAGTTTTAAGAAGGTTTAGAGGAGACGTGGTGGTGCTCAATGGTACGCCAGTGGCGAAAAAAGCGGAGAAATCCGTCAAGAAAACGCAAAACGGGACCCTTTTTTGGCCGTTGGTTTTCACTCATGAACAGGTAACAGCTCAGAAAGCGGACGTATGAACGAGTTCACCGCAACGCGTTTGGTGGCACCATGCCAAACCACGCTCCAATCGAGTTGCTCCAGTTGTGCCGCTGCTGGCAACGCAGCTCGTCCAAATCACCAACTAAACTAGTGGGCGGATCGCTTTTGGGGGCGGAGTGCTTTCGAAGTCCTGCTCAGCAACCAGCGCACCTTCGTCGTGAAAGCGCCACACCTCGCTTCCCTGGCAGCCAAGTAACTGCTTCGTGTGGTGCATATGCTTCCCCGATGCGCTCCCTCTTTATCGTAATCGCTGCCTTTAACTCACTGGGATGCGCTACACACCCATGCCTAGCTCAATTCGTATGCCTGACTGAATGCGTTCGTGCATTTTGCAACTTTTTCCTTCCAATGACGCAACTATCTGAAATATTTGCCACATGCCCCTCAGGGAATATCCTGTTGCCTTTGGGTAGTTTAGAAGGATTGTGTCGCAACACGGAAACTTCCGCTATCCTCTGGGGCTCCATAAATTCTTGTCATACTTATGAACACGAGCAAAAACATGGCCTGGGACAATTCCTGTCATCAATGCCATAACCACCCTTTTTGGGAGTCTTTTTAGGAATTATAAAGAGCCTAACGAATGTACCGGTCGCACATCCACCAATGGCGATCGTAATCCAATAAATCGATACCTACAATTCATCCCTCGCAGATAGACAAGTCGTAAATGCAGACCAGTACATGGAACAAACGTCACATCGAAGGCTGCAAAGCCCGGCGGCCACGGACGAATTCACAAATTTGGGAATTTATCCCCAGCCGGCATGCAGAGATCAATGAAAGGGTCACGCCATAGGAACCGTCTTATATATTGACAGCCCGATGGTTTGAAATGGGTGAGAGCCGTCTATCGTCAGCGTCTGTGTCGTCGGAAAAGAATCCGTGCCATGTCTCGACTAAGGAGATTCATCTCTCAAAAGACGCTCAAGAGTCCACAAGGCTTAACGGTCCCAAAGAGTTGTGCAGTGGAACCCACCGGAAAAGATTCCGGAAGCGCATGCTCTTCGGTCGGTTCCTCGACCCTTCAATCGACAACTTGCTTGCACACGCTGATGGGGGTTTACCCTCGGCCGGGAATGAATCTCCAGCTTTCAGGACTCACCCCTGGCCGAGGATGGGCCGAGGATGGGATTTATGCCTAGCCGAATACAGGCTCCCAACGTTGCGGACTCGTCTCCGTCCGGTTCGGTGACCCATATCCGGCCGAGCAATGCTGCACACGGCCCAGTATAATCAATTATCGAAAACGTGGCATCGAACTTTTCCAGGGCCATCGCCATTGTACTACTGATTCCACAGAACAGCGATAGCAGCAGTGGCGATGGCCTCGAAAAAATCAATATCACTTTTGTCTTTGTCAGTACTTGAACATTCCGCATCTGCAGTCCCTTCTACCCTGTTTACGAGAGACAAAGGGTACGTAGTTGCTGAGCTTTAAGTTACCGTAAACGTTGACCAGAGATCATGAGCAAATTCATGTGGCTTCGGTGGCTTAAATAGCTCCTCTAGAACTGGTTACAATCGATAATACTACGCCCTCCAGTTTGCTCTAATCACATACATCTTCCAACTATTTTATAGGTTCTGTACCAGTCTTCTCCTTTATATTGTTGCCACTGCACCACCCATATGGCTGCTTCAGACAAAGTTATGTGAATGGCGAAGAGAATACGAATTGCTTGGCGAAAGCAAAATCGCAATCAGTGAGTTTTTCTATATCGTGACTCATAGCAACTAACAGATGTCAGACTTGGCGAGTCCAGCGATTCGCTAGCGAATCGCGGGATACGAGCGTTGCATCAGCGAATCGAACTATGCGCCAGCGGCTCGACACTGTTTGAAAGTGGCGGGGCTTCTTTAAACGTTGGCTCTCGCCACTTTCAAACAGTGTTGAGTCGCTGGTACATCGTTCGATCCGCTGGCACATAGTTCGATCCGCTGGTACACAGCTCGCTTCGCTAGCGAATCACTGGATTCCCAAAGCTTGACATCTGCCTAAGAAGCGAGCGCATGTGTGGACTGAACGGGTGGTCACGGAGCGGCCAATGGGCTGGTTGCCCTCAGCGTAAAATCCTTACGGCGCACAAACGCGCAAAATTCCAGATTTCTTCAATCCATTCGAGATTTTTACGCCTACTTCCAGAAGTCTTTCCAAAAAACATCTTCCTTTTTCCAGGTGGCCCAGAAGAATAGCTACAACTTCAACTACTTGAACAGCTTCTCCTTGTCGTTCTCATCATTGGCCGATGGCTCCTGCCAAAAGAAGACATTAGTCGCGAACGGCTATCTCAAATTCTACTCGCCTATTTGGTTAGCTTCCTTCTCCTACGAAAAATCTAAGCTCACTGCCAAATAATTCTCCGTCTCTTCAGGCAATCTCATCAGATATTGTCGAATTCTTCGATGTTTTCAAAGAGAAGGCTGTGTACAATAATGTTAATGTCCAACAAATCGTGCTCGCTGCCTGGACGGTGAGGAATTTCCTCTTGCTACTTTACAAAAAAGCATTCAACATAAAATATACTCAGAGGATCCCATGATGATGTCGGAGAAGGGGAACAGTTAGCGGAAAGACAGGTGGACCCCTAAGTGTGTGGACCGACACACAACTCGCACTGAAGGATATACCCCTGGTGATCTAGGATCTGCCCGTCTCTGCGCCGCTATCGACGTGACACCCTCATCGACTGAACTAACTGCTCGCCGCAGCCCTCTAGCCAATTCAGCGGAGAGCGTTGGTGTTGGAGAGGGCGCCACCGATGAGCCGCATCAATGAGGAAATCGGTCCCATTTTCGGATTATGGACCATTTCTCATGAATTTTCTTCATTCCCTCACCACTGACCACCCTACCTTAGTTCTAATGTGCTGCTCTAATCATTAACTCTGTCTTTTAAAGCAGTGAGTACCAAGCCTTGAAATCGGGACGGTAAATGACATCGGTGGACGGATCCTAACCAACCGCGCTACATCGAATAGCGCTACCCATCAACATACGATTCATTTTTTCAGTCAGAACTCGCGCTTAGCGAATAGGATGCACTTTTCTGCGGCACCACCTACTACCCACTCTTACGTCTTCTTGATTAACACAGATGACCTCTTCCACACATTAGCCGCAACCCTCACTCTCAACAAAAGTTGGTTAGATTGCTACTCGTACCAAGTTGATCCGAAAGTGCAGATGTAGTACCGAAGCTCGCCGACTACAGTAAATCCACAAGTGCTTCCTGCCGCCATTTGGTGATGTTAGATCGACTGGCATATTGCACTATTACAACCGGCCAAAGGGGTGGGGGGGAGGGAAAAATCGGTTCAATAAAATAACGCTGGTTGCTATGGAGCTTATCGAGGGTGCTCATCACGAATAATATTCATTTTTGGCGCTGGCGCCATTTGGCCCGCCAGGTGGCGCCACGACTGATTCCCACTAAATTCGCTGTAAACTTCTGTATAGGGGTTATTTGGGGTCCTGATTACGAATATGACATTCGTTTTTGTTGTTAGCGCTATTCGGCGCCTATTTCCTGCTCGTCTGCGCCCTCGCACTAATTAGATCGCAATCAGGACTAAGCCTTTGAATAGTGGAGGGCTCCAAAGTGAGTAGGGCACTCCCCTGTGGTCTAACACACTCCAACTTTTGCCACACGGTGCGTGGTTCACCCACTCCGGAGTTTCACCCCTCCCCTAAGCTTAGTCTTAGGCGCTATAGGTGAGAAAGCTTAGAAAAGCAGAAAATATGCGTTAAAAGCACGAATGTTAATACGAGTGTCATATTCGTGATCAGGGGCCCAGAATCACCCTCTACCAAGTTTAAGCGCTTGGTGATATCGGTTGTTGGACGCGAGCTGCTAATGTTTGGCGCCAGCGCCAAAATGGATGTATTCGTGATGCGGATTCTCCGATAACCCCACAGCAAGAAGTTCAGAACGAAAAATAGGCTCAGACAATACCCATATACCATTGGCGCGCCGGCGGCGAAACGGCGAGTCGACAGGTGGCCGCGAACGACGCTTGAAACACCTCGAGGTGCCCGCGCGAATTGTGCTGGTGCTGAGTTTCCGCGGCAGCTATCAACTGGCCGCGCCGAAAATGGCTAGGTATTGTCTGGGAGGCCGCAAAATTTATTATCTTCACCCATCTCACCACGAAACGCCCGAGGTTGTAATCACGTGCAATAGTCCAGACACGAGTGTTCATGATGTATTCAATTTTCAGATGGGCACCTGCGATTTGGGAGTTCACTGCGAATCACGCAATGATTCGCAGACTCTTACACCTAGCCTAAGCAGCACAGACATTGCATCAGGTAATTAATGGCAATAAAAAACATGATACCAATTTTTCAATGCCGTCCCTTTATGTTACTACTGTTCTGCAAAATACAGCAATACACGCAGCAAGAGCTACATAAAATTGCTTTCATTTACGCGATTATGGCGCTATGTGACTCGAGGGGGGCCAGTCGCCGCGCGCGGCCGTGCGGCAACAGGAAATTCGAACATTCCGGCTTCTCACGGAACATTCCAGCTTCTCACGCATGTCATGTGACTGCCCTCACCCCCAACCCCCCTGAATTGGCTACACTCCCCCTGGCTCACGAATTTCCTGTTGCCGCACGGCCGCGCGCGGCGACTGGTCCCCCCCGAGGCACATTGCGCTCCGATTCTCTTATGCCACGTCGATGTTGTGGGTCCGTATTCACGGCTCACCTTGGTAAGGGAAGCAAGTCAGTGTACCACAGTTTATCCAACCCATGCAGATTCTAATTTTGATTTCACTTGGTGGGATGAATGTTCTCAGCTGCACAGAATGAAAACTACCAAGCAAAACTACCACCACGAGCCTACGGCTTGCTACAACAGAGTTGTTATTCTATGAGTGTAGGCTACCATTTTCAACTTCCTTTTTCAGCTGAGTCTTCTCCAGTTTCCGTTCGTACTCACTGTAAGCAGAGCAAGAAAAATGAGAGTTGCTATTACAAAGACTTATGAAGAGCTCATCATGCCTCACACTAGACCACCAAATTTCTGGGAGGTTAGAGATTCTAGCGGTACAATACAGGCGCACATGGGCATAAAATATCACTTTCAGGTATGCTATAAAATATCACTTTCAGGTATTCTACGATGTCGACATTTGGGCTATTATACTAGCCAACTCCCTCCAAGACATCCCCTTCCTTCTGGTGAGTACACCATCAATGTGAAATATTTCGACTACAATTTGCTATTCTTCAAATCCTATCGTGAATGGAGCGGAGGGAGCAGTGTGGAGGGGAGGGTTCTTGGAGTCCACTTACAAACCATAACAACAAATTTACATCAATTCGTTACATTGCTTTGCATAACTGTATTACCGACACACTGGTTTTAGGTCCGTTTATACTTGATGCTTCAACACAGTCTCGTCACCTACACAATGATATTCTTCACTTGCAAAAATGCACTCATAATCGCACTTCAGACATACAGGTAAGGCTCATGTCAATCACTGCGCGGTCAGGGGGCATATGTACTGCATGAACACCCTCGAAGTCGAGCGAAAAGAATCTACAGAGACTCACAGGATGCCCGTCCAGATATTCCAGTCTATTTTGTTGGGTTGCGTTCAAAAAAAATCGCGGCTATTATCAACTCTGTCAAGGTAGAAAACACCAAAAAAGCAGCGCTACAAATATCAAGTCGGTGATGGCTCCATTACCGACATCATACTTACGTTTACCCAGTCTCTCTGCATGATGACTAATTATAAGCAGGTGTACATGAGCACAATGACGCGTAAACATCATGTTTTGACTTATGGAAATCCTTTGACGCTAACGCTTGTGAACAATTTCAGGGCTTTCATCCTGCTCAATGACCGCTATATTCGTCCTAAACCTCCCGATTTTGATATGCTGGATTCACATGCTCATCACACTCGTGACCACCAACGGAAGCCAACCTCACATCGTAAAAGGAAATCAAAGCGCGACAAATCCGAAGAACGTCAGCATCTATTCAGCCCTCACCGTGAGAGAAGCCATAAACGAGAGCGTCGTAGAATGGACACTTTGGAAGAAACAACAGCGTGAATATTCATGTGTTATAAAACATTTTCTTCAAACAAAAACAATTTATGTAACACAACAACGCACTTTAATGTTGCTTCTTACGGAAGGAGCAACCTTCAGTCAAACGAGCTTTTCCTCCAGTCGGCGTACACAAAACGGTATTACATCCAACGCAAACAACGACGGTCGTCGCATGTGAAAAGACTGTTGTGATCTGAAAGAGACATGATAGAAAAAGAAGAAAATAAGTATGACATTGAAAGTGGCACAGAGTAAATCGAATATCGTAGTACTGGATTATGCTGGAAGCATTGTGCTTCCCTACCAATCTTCAAAAACACTCAAGCTCTGAGATCCTAAAGGTCCTTCAAAGAAGGTTATAAACCTTTCAATGAAAGATGAAATAGGTCGAAAAAAGGGAAGAGGTGGCCGAAAATGTACGAAAGTTTGAAATGTAATTCATGACACATTGACACAAATCAGTTTTTCTGTTTTTAAAAAAGTGTCCCTCGAAACTGCGGCGCACAATTCTGCCAAAAGGTATGAACCCAACAGGAGAATTGTTGAGGCTACGTTTATCTCAAGCCCTTGCCAATGTCGCAAATATCCTCGGTAGACCAGAGAACAATTTCGAAACGGATTCATTTCCACACCAGAATCCGTAAATGAAATGGTTATAGGGACTTCTTTATTGGAAATCGTACCTACAACGCTAGTTGCAAAATTTCAACGTTGCAAGCAAATGCAATTTCAACTTCCCCTTTGTTGAGTCCCTGTAAAAAAAATATGTACAGACCACAGCTACCATAAATATAACAATGCCTTATTGATTAACACGTTGACGACAACGCGCGTTTTGGCTTTTTTGGCCGCGTGGGACCGACACGATTTTGCGAGCGCGTCCGCCATAGGTAATTCAAGCGAATTTTGAGTTCTGAAAAAGAAAAATGATTGATACAAAACTAAGCCGTTGAATTCCTAGTGCAACGAAGCTACCCAGTGGTACAGTATGGAATTTCGATAGAAAGACGTGAAATAACAGTGAGATCAAAATTTGTCAGACCTAGCTGCAATGGACCTCAAAGGCAACTTTACCTTGATTGTTTCAATCAAAACGGTTATCTTGCCATCGCTTACGTTCCGTATTCACTTTTGCTACTCTTTGAAGCTTCACATGCATGAAGAAAAAATGAAAATGGAAAATTAACTAAAGTGAAATTTCGTACGGTTCAGAAATTCTCTTCTAAAATTAAGGCATACGTAACTATGAGGACAGTCCATAATTTTTGAAACACTTTACCCATTTATTGTTGTAAAAATGTTTCTGATAAGTATTGGAATTTCCCAAAATGCCTGCAACATAGCACACAATTCCGCCTGTCCCGAGTCTAGCCTTTTGTTTGCTTGTTGCTTTCTTTAGCTAGGATTCCATTTCTTCCGAAGACCTATTTCTGAGGCTCTTCTTCCATGACTTCAGATTAGGATCTTCCACGCGCCAAGCCTACATTGGAGGATTGAACCAGAAGGTAGTTGAGGGCACACTCTTTCATTCCACGGTGCACGGATAGTTACCTCTACTCAGGGTTTCCTTCTTTCATTTGAAGAAGAGTCACACCCCAACCACCCCGTGACTGGCCATCTCGATGCTCTACCTGGCCGCCATTGGTGGATCTGAACAAAATGAGCGATACTTGTCGGATCGCTTTTGGTGTGACAAGGCAGAGTACTGAGACAAGTCGATTAAGTCGCTAAAGTATGAAAAGATAGAAATTGTCTCTAAAACGATCTGAGCCCGAGTCAACTCTAAACTCGATCTGACATCATCATGTTCCCGTTGGTTTCCCATAGTTCCCTCGAATGAACATCCAGCATACTCGCATATGGGGACTGGGAGCAGTGCGCTAACAAAACCACAAGCCGCAGTTAGCTTAGCTTAGGAGTTCTGAAAGCAAAAACCCAACTCCCTTCTGAATTGTACCTTCATTTGTAATGTACATCTTTTCAGCCATCCACACAAAAACTAATCGCTGTGGGTTAAATAGTGGCAAAAAAAGGTAACTCTAGGTTCGAGTGTACTGATTCACAGGTACCCACGCAAACAAATACAACAAGCAAGACGAATATCAGTAATGCTAGGGTAAAACTAAGCTATAAGTTTAAAAGGATTCCAGAATGCTACGCACAGGTTGGAGTTACGATCTTCCTCAGTGAAAAAAACTCCTACAGCAACTTGGTGAACTCATGGTCAAAGGAAACAAGACCATCGCTCCACTGTGTCACCGCCGAATGCCCTTCAGTCCCCTTTATTACTCCTGCGAGGACCATAAAATGAAACAGGAAGTCATTGCCTGAATCTAACGGAAAACGAAACTGAGGCACAGTTCACAGTGGCACTAAATGCTTACCTTCCCAAATATGCTTCGCCCTTTTCCTACCGACTGGACTTTACATCTACTTCGCCTCTGTAAATCCCAAAAACCAGAATAGCACAAGACTTTTGAGAAGCCTAGATTTTTACATTTCTCTTAGCAAAACTGTACCACAAAAAATACTCCTCTAGCATTTTACTATCGCGCCAGAAAAATGAGCATACATGCGTGACAATATGGAACTTCTACAGTGCAAGAGCCAACGCTTATAAAAGATCATGGTTATCGTCATCGATGACCGAGTTAAGAGGATGAGTTCTTTGGCGATTCAGTGCAATCGTGGTCGACCGCTGAATTGGGAAAAATTTAGAATGGAACGACTCCCCCTCCCCCTTAAGGTGTCCATAACATGATCCCTACAAAGTTCCAATGATTCATAGTGTCTATAATGTCGTTGAACCTGGTTCGACTTGGCATGCACTCACACACTTCGTGGCTGAGACAAATAAACAGAGGCTTCAACTTTGTGAAGAATTTCTCAACCTACCAAAAATCACTCTCCGAGTATACGAAAGTACCTCCACAGAAACACAAATCACAACCGCTCTTCATTAGTAAAATCCCAAAGGACGTGTGATCATAAACGCGATATATGAAAGGATACATGCATAGTCGGTCGTCCGACATAACAATCGTACGATCGTAAGTGTCGCACTCCTGACGATCAATACGCATCTAATGCTGTGCGACAGCTGCTGTCAGACGACCGACTATGCATGTGCCCAAACAGGGCACGCAAGAATGAAAAAAACGGTCTTTTCCAAGAATAACTTGATGGACTAAGCTTCAGCTTAGGAGACTCAAAGAAATCTGTGATTGAAAACTGGCAGACTCTCTTGCCTTTCTGCAAGATAAATTGAAAAATTTGCTTCATAGATAGTATAACAAAAAAGGACTAATGCCAGTAACACTGAGAGAGGATTTATAAATCTTATGAGGTACCAAACCATTCGAAGAATGTCCTATAAATACTACCTGTTCTGGATGTAAATCTTATACCAGCAAGTTTCTTGTACAGAAGTATCTTTATCAGGTAACGATCAGCATTCTTAAGGACGGAAACTAACGCCGGTCACTCAAAGGGGAGGGCCGCTGTTGTTGCAGATCCACTCCAGAGCTCCTTCCCCCACCCTGAGTCAGTGGCTTCGCATAATGCTCATAGCATTTCCATAACATTCATGAACTTCTAAAGTAGAGATGAGGTCTCCGTTTTCGCACTAACCTTTACACCCTGAAGACCCTTAGGTAAACAGCGCCCTTTTAAATATAATCAATTCTTATAATAACCTACAAGTCTTAGACCTTCTGATCTGAAAAATCTCTGCTTCTACTGTGCGTATCCCTTCCTCAGACATAACAATCAATGCGGTACTTTCTTGTAGGCGCACGGCGTCCACTTCATGTGCACAGGGGTGGCCAAAAAAAGAGACACTCCACATTCAAAACGGAATTATTTACGCGTCGCGAAACCAAACCAAATGACCCCAACTGAATATTGAAGAGCACGTTATAATCTATCAACAAGCTACACAACAGCCTTCTACACCGACGACATCAGAAGATTTTCCCACGGAAGCATTGTGCGCGGTACGATCTCAACGAGGTCGTTGAGATACCATAGACGATTACGACGTCTCTGAAACGCAGGTCAAAAGCGGTTTTGCACATTCACAGCTAATGTCTCTGGAAGCTATTCAACAATTAATCCACTGAGGAAATTATGTAGCAGCTTCAGGTCGGAGCGATTACGGTAAGCCTCGTTGAGCTCGACGGTGACGGCAGATGACGTCATATTCTGAAGACGGCGGGGGCAGTGAAGGAGGGCTGCTTCTGTTTACGGGGGAACACCTAAGGAATATTCGCCGTAAAACTTTCATTAACATCGGCTCTGTGTGATGGAAAAGTTCGATGATGTGCGCCATGGGGTAAGTGTCTTTTTTTGGCCACCCCTGCATACCCGTACTAACGCTGCGGAAAGCTTAACACCGATCCAGTTGCAATCTCTATTCGAGCCAGAAGGCAGGAACGCGGAACTATTTCACGGATTGATTGGCCTGATGCATGCGCCCTTCTTTTTTACGTTATATTGATTGAATAAGTGCGTCAGACCACGGCCCACCACCGATTACGAAAGCTTGAAACAGCCTACCATTTGAGTGCAAGAGGTCAAACTCGAGAACCTACACAGACAGTTTTGAAAAAACCCTTTCTCGTTATACGAGATCCTGCTTATAAAACTCGAGAAACTAATAGGGCTGGTGTTTTGTGATATGCCATTGTGTGTAAAGAATTTTACGGCCGGAGAAATTTTCTCAAAATTTGGTTTGCAAAGGTGAATACGCCAAGCGACGCTCATAGCTTTCAAAAGGGAAGAAATAATACATTGTGACAATAAAACAAGAACTTGAGGCAAATTGGACTTTAAAGAGAACGACTAAATCTTCAAACAAATGTGCCAAAGGAAAGCAAAGCACATAATAAGCGTTCAGTTTTGAGAAAAGGGATAACCAAAACAAGAAATTTAGAAATCACAAACCGACCTTAAAACATCCTGGGCATTTAACGTCCATGAAATAACTGTTAGGATGTTGAACAAGTCGTTTGAGCTTGTGGCGTTGACGCTCAGTCTCTGGATCAGGGTGCAACAAATCAATAGCCAAAGGCATGACGTCCTAGTTGAGCTGGCTTTGCTGAAACATTGCTGACCTTACTTTCATCAGAAATTCTGAGTATGGAAAATACAAGAAACCGGAGAGTACCAAGCAGCACAGGGAAATCACACAGCAGTGAATGACGAGTAGAGTGAAATCACGCACTATGTATGCGGCGCAATATTGCACAACCAGTGGCAACACTCACAAACGTTACGAAATTGTCGGCGAGCGGCAACAAAAAACCGACACAACGTCAACATTTAGGCTACCCAGTAAGCTATGAAATCTGGCCTTGGTAGCCCTTAGAAGGCTGAGTAAAGACCAAAACCTCCCTCAAAAAACCCAAATAAAGCCATTTGCAATGGGATCTCAGCAATCAACAGCTCTGGACGCATATCCTTGCATGCTACAACTCAAATCCTATTTTCCTACAGAATAAAACTTAATAAACAGAAGAATAAAATCATACAATTCAATTCAAACCAACCTCTTCTATTAATAAAAGAGTAAATCGAGACTGCGTATCGTCGTGGCCAAGAGTCGACGCGCTACATGCGCGGTAGGACCAACTGGCATTTGGCCAATTGTGAGCTCAATGATCCGCGCATGTTACTGTGGCGAAGAACATTTCGGGGATTATTTGTCGGCATAGTTTTGGATTTTTCAAGAACTTTGAACGCAAATTCAAGCTCATAAAAGTATCATTCTGATGGACTAAGCAATGGGCTGAGAAATAAGCGGTGTCATTCGCTTTGCTGGTGATTTTATGCCTCGGTTTACTAAATCACTTTGTGGGTGGTTTGGGCGCACAGTTTCTGCGCAGTTATTACATACAGTAATTGTATAGCTCCTATAACGTTGGATTGGAATCCTCTGATTCCAAAAAATGAGAAATTCAAGCCGGTAAAGGCCCTCTATTGATGCTTGTCAATTTTTCAATCACTTTCTCGCTGAAACCACTTGAGCATGAATGTTTGTCTTTTGATTATCTTTTGATTTTGTTTGAAGCGTTACTTTACACCCACACAAAGCTTCCTCCTGTGCTAAAAATTGAACTACTTTATGTGACGTGAACTGTCGCACAACTTGTCCCACTTTGGTGGTATCTCTTGTTGTTTCTCCTTTGACAAAGACCTTGTTGTTCCCCTTCTGTCTCATTTTTTTTTCGCTTTTCTTGATCTGAAATTTTTGAGTGAGACTCGGAACAAGTTCCTCTCATATCTGCCACGGTCATGAAACCTATTGTCGCGATTGTTCTATGCAGAATTTTTTTGTTTCAGCGATGGCGCAAATGTTAAAGAGGTCGTTTTCCATGAAGAAGTTGGCCCCCCATCCGCTTCCGCGGGTCTCTGTTTAAGCTCCTCAACGCATAACCGCTCTTTTCATAACAATTATTCCTTCAGTTTCACTAATATAATGCTTAAATGATGGTCCAGATTGTGTCTGACAACACTATCTTGTGTTAGTTTCTGAGCTTATCGTAAACATTATTCCAGACCTTGGTTTCCCCTTCCAGTATGTTTTCTGAATAAATTTAAATGGTCACGAAAACTTGAAGAAATCCTTCCAATGCCTCAAATACAGGCACCAGCAAAGGATTGGTTATATGTAGCTTTGATTATTTTTTGATTTTGTGTCGCATCTAGGGTCAAGGGGTCCGTTGGAATATTTCCAACGGTCGTACTTGGGCTTTCAAGAGGGAGCGATATGGTGGAAGGAGTGGAATGGTTTTTGCGGGGTAAGGGCTGTTTATTGGAGTGTAGGGACGACTTCGTAGCTCTTGTCGGGAACCTGTAATGTGCTGAAATGGACAGAAATTTGTGGAATTCGTTGCCTCCAAAACTGTAAATTCCTTCTACACACATATCGCTCGATAGCGATGGCAGTTTCAGAGGATTTTTTTAGGGGAGGTGCTTGCGTACGTTGGAGGAGAGGGACTCCTCTCGAGTAGGTGGTCCTGATCACAAATTGTTCCTGAATGGTTGACCCTGATCGCATCTGCTCAGATTTTAGCTAATAATGATTAATACGTAAAGTCGCTGCAGCAAAGGTGTTGCTACTAGAGTTTTTGAATAAAATTTACTGTTCGACGTCAACTACCAACGTTTTCCGCCAGAATTGAGTGAGGCGGCATAATTCAAACACTTTTTAGAGCGGCTTGTCTGGCATATTTTGGAAATGATTGGAAATGACCTTAAGCGTGACAACGTTGTCTAATTTAGGTTCATGGTATCGAAGGACGTTACGCATCTGCCCTCTACTCTGCTGCCTACAAGCAGAAGAGCCTCGACCAGGTAGACAAGGATCTTCAGAAAATCAGATCAATTTTTCGAGAGGAACCAAGCTTTAGAGTAAGTCAGTATTGTCATTTTTGCTACAGTGTTGTGAACGGATTAAGAATTCTATTTTTAAGGAGTTCGTCTTGAATCCCACTCTAAAAAGATCGAAAAAGATGGTTCTTGCTATCGAAATAGGCAAAAAACTCGGCTTGTCCAAGGAATCAACTAATTTCATTGGTAAGCGATTATTTCATTCTTTCATTTCTTTTCTCTGAACATTGCACTTTTCATTGGTTTTTAGGTTGATTTCATTATTCTTTTTCTTTATTTTGAATGTTCCATAGTTCCTTTAGTAATTATTTTCATCACAGGTTTGCTGGCTGAGAACGGTCGTCTCAGCAAGTTAGAAGCCGTTGTCGCATCATTCGAAGATATCATGAGAGCTCACAGAGGCGAGCTATTCGTTGAGGTGCCTTGACTCTTTCAATTCTTTTGCAATTTCACGACTTCTCCTCATTCTTTTAATTTTTTTTCAAGTCTATCACTGGAAAGCTACAATGATTCCTAGTTCGATTGATTTTTTATTTGTATAGGTCACGTCTGCTGAGCCACTAACCAAGTCTCACGAATCCGCTCTGGGCGATGCGCTACACAAGGTAAGGACTTTCATTCCAGTTAGTTAGTACCAATACCTATGTTTTACATCAGTGTTTTGTTAATCCTTTCAGATGGCAAAATCTGGACAAAAGATAAATGTGACCTACACTGTCAAGCCGTCGATCATGGGTGGCCTTGTAGTAACCATAGGAGATAAGTATGTTGACTTGTCGATCGCGTCTCGTGTCAAGAAACTCAAGGAAGTTATCGTCGCCTCTATTTGAGGGTAGTTTAGAATTTATAAATAAAGTTGTAGAGCGATCGGTATTTCCAACACATTGCTTCTTGTGTATTGGTCGAGGTTTTATTTTATGAAAATTCCATCACTGGTGTCCAAACACAACAGGAAACCGCCTGGAGGTACTACTCGAAAATTGTTTGTTTTATGAACGGGTCCAGTTTGTTAGAAAAATTACCAAACACACCTGAAAATGGAGCTGAAACATAGGGAATAGGCTAGTCCTAAGCTTTATTCATAAAGTTTGGGCTGGGATCGCCAAAAATTATTCATGAAAGTTGTTAAGTAGGGAAGCTCCGATGAATCAAGAAATTAAAGCAACAGTCCCAGCAGGGTGGGCGTGGTCGGAAACGGCTGCAATCCCCTCGGCCGATTCCCACTTCGGAGCTGTTCAGCCCCTAGTCAAGAACGTAAGAAGTGTGACTGAACAAAAACTCACCTTGGAAAGCCGCTAGGGAGGGAGCTGAAGTGGGCGTGGTCGGAATCGGCCGAGGGGATTGCAGTCGTTTCCGACCACGCCCACCCTGCTGGGACTGTTGCTTTAAGTACTGTCTGTGTAGGTCTTCATGTGTATCGATAGGTTCCTCAATCACTTCATTGCTGGGAGGATGTGTGTATAGCTCCAAATATGACATAACATATATAACCAAATATGTAAAAAAAAGGCTCATGAAGATCAACAGGTATGAGAAGAACGGTAACAGGAAACAGAAGTTACATGATCAGCCATATCACCAGTCGGTCACATGCAGCTGATCGACGGACCAATCTTCAAATGAGCCATCTGGTAGGTATCGTCGAACAATGATTGGAATACGTCGATGTTTTAGCTCCTTGCGAGCAATTTCCAGTGGATCCGTTTCTAAAATTATGCATTTTAATCTTATTGCGTTTGTTTTTAAGATT